CGAGTTATAGATTGATGGACATCTATATAAAAACATCACCCATATTTTTGTCAGATGTTTGTTCGACTTTACAGAAAGTATTGGGGATAATTTTTTTTGCACTGAAACTATCCACAAAATACATGGGAACACTCATGTCTTTGTAGCTGACTGTTAGCAACAAAATACTTTTAAGCTTCCCTATGTAACATTTTAGTGCTGCCAATTATATCTAGAAACAACCAATCAGAACCAGGAGGAGGGAGTGAGCGCTGTCAATCATGCTTGTGTACGTACATGTCCTCCCATGTATTCCCCCTTGGTACAACTGGTTCACCACAACATAGCTTGCCACAAATGCTAAGGCAAGTTAGCATTTGGTAGATAAACGGTTTTCCTGGAACGGCAAGTTGTTCCTCTGCCATTAGCACATACACAATGTTGATTGACAGCGGTAAGACCCTCCTCCTGGCTCGGATTGTTTGTTTCTGACCAGGAGCAGTGCATTTTTTCAGACTGCAGTAGTAGCACTGGACGAAGGTGAACGATCTTTTCACAAATTATCTGTCAAGACAGTTTTAACAAGTGGGTTTAATTTTTTTTATTATAAAAGATACAAAATGCAGTTTTGAGGTGAAATTTGAAATGGGTTCCCTCAAATCAAGGCAAACCATATTCTGCTTTGTTTCATATATCTTCCATGTTCAAATATATTCTCACCTTTCAGAAGCAAAACGAGAACCATTTATTATCTGTTCAGTCTGAAACGCGTCATCGGCCTGTTTGGCACCATTCTGACCCGGTGGATAAATTCCTCAGCGTTAACATGATTCTGTTTCTGGTTGGCCAATGGCCACACCAACAAGTTTCCTGTTTTTCTCAAGAGCCACTGCATCACACACAACTAGTAAAAATCAGTGACATCACAGCTTAAAGCAGGTGAACGGCGTTACAGACAACAACATCAGTCCACATCACGTCACCTCCAGCAGAGCTTCGTCACGGCAGGCTGTCTAAACATCCGTCCTCCGGGTTACGGTCAGACGTGAGCTTATCCTCTGCTGACTGACATGCTTGTCTTTGCCGTGTCAGAGTAGAATAGCTGCTAAATGCGAGTGCAAGGACTCTTTTTCTCTCCCCTTCACACCGAGAGACACACTGCCGCCCCTCTGCCCCTCCAACCTGCCTCCAGGTCCTATAATCTTTTTACAATGTGTTGAAACACAGCAATAAATCTGTTAGCTTACAATCTAATTTCCATGGCCTTTTCCAGAAATCCTCATAAACTTTTGGCGCCCCCATTAACAGCCCTATTGAATCAGAGCGCTTAATCTGCTTCCAGGTGAGGGGTCAGAAAATGAATGCTTTGAGATCCATCACGCTGATGGGAGCAGAGAAAACTGGGCGAGGAAGAGCGCTGGGGAAAAGGGCAGCATCTCCTCCTCATAGGTCAATAGCAGCCAAGAGAGTCAGTCATTCACTTTTTCCCTCAGCGTCGCTCTCATTTCCCATTTAATATAGACATCCAATTAATGTGAGCATGTCTGGGGCGGCCCAGATCCCCGTGAATTATGGCCCATCATCCCCCCAGTTATGGCTCGGCAAGAGAGTTGTGGGAAAAAGGAGAGGACACAAGGAGACAAAGACAGAAACAGAGGGAGGATTTAAGATGGAAAGAAAATGAACTGGGGAAGAGGAAAAGGGAATAGTTTGGAGAATCAATAAATAAAGCAAGAGACAGAGCAAAAGGAAATAACTCTTGGAGAAGAGGAAAGAGGATCAGAGAGACGTGAAGCAAATTAAACCGGCAAGATGAGGAGCAAAACATAAGAAAAACAAAGGATCAGGGAACCGGACAGCAAATGCAAAGAAGAGAGGAGAGGAAACCTTTACAAGAATTAGAGATAATTGATTGGCTGTTGGGGCAGCTGTGGCCTCCAATGATTGGCTGCCAGGAGAAAGAGCAAGATTAGTTTCCAAAGTGGTGCTACCGACACCTGAGCTGCGTTTGTGAGCGCGCGCACAAACAGCATTACATCCACGCCTGTGATATTAAACCTGGACAGCAGCTCCTTATTGTCGCAGCAACAGGGATTTGTCATTGTACCTCATTATCCAATTAACACCATGTGGTCCTGCAGCCAAACATACACACTCCTCCACATGCAAACACACACACACACACACACACACACACACACACAGTGTGGTATTATGTCTGGGCTTCAACAAAATTCAAACAGGAAACGTAGCAAACTTTAAGGTGCACAAGCTGCAAACACTAAAATTTCTCTCTCAAATCTGCATAGGGTGTCTTCACACCTAGTTTTCTGGTGGATTCGGTTCAATTTGGGACCAAAATTTCAACATTTATTACCTTTTCAGGTTGAGTGGTTTGCTTTCTAGTTGCACTGTGTTTTTGTTTTTGACTTCAGTTGAACTTATTGGTTCTGAGAGCTTCTTTCTTTCTGTCCAAACAATAATGTGGCAGAGCTTCTGAATAAACAGTCTGTCCCAACACAGTCATTTAATTGATGGGCTCTCAATTTAAATCCTACAGACAAAAAGGCATTTTCTTTCCATGTATACATATGTATGTCTTTTGCAGTACTATTGTGGTAACAATAAACGTGACAATAACAACTATTTATTACTACTTTTTAGACAATTCTAGGGCTATGACTGTTCTTGAAAAACAGAACGTATATATATATATATATATATATATATATATATATATATATATATACATATATTTAATCATGTTTTTTTTTTAATATCATTAGAAAAATTATGGGTTTTTAAAAAAACATTAATTACATTGATAGTTGATCATGTATATTTAAAAATCTATAATGGAGAATGCCTTAATATTTACTTGATGGAATGTTAAAATTTATATTTAAAGTTACTGTTTGTTGTGCTTATCTTTCAGCTTAAGTTCTGATTTGGTTTAAATAGTTTGTGTATTAAGGTTTTTTTCTTTTTTGTGTTTAATTTTGTTTATGTCTTTTTAGGAATGTTTGTAAAGGATTATTATAGTAATGTCTGAACCAGAACCCAAATGAACAATTAAAGAAATTAATTGGAATTTATTGTAACAAGAATAAATCTAAATTTGTATCATAAGAAAATTATCACGATAAATGATAAACAAATGCCTACCCTTACTTCCTGCATATTATTTGCTGAAAAGCCACTTCAATTAAAAAAAATTCTCCTAGGAAAAAGATTAATTTTCAAACAATTTTTCCACAGATATTTGTAAGATTATGAAATGTTCAAAAAGTCAGAATCTAATTTTTCTGCACCAACAATCCAGAAACTCCCAGTAAAATGCTACGAGTCTTCTTTGCACGCAGAGCTCAAAGTAGACAAATTGAAACCATAAGTCAGTAAAGAGAATGCTTGAAAACAAAACAAGCTAATAAAGAGTATCGTATAATATCTACCATCCTTTTATTTTGCTAGATTTTGAAACATATCAAACTAAATGGAAAAAATGTGCATCTGATTAAACGTTAATATCTGAGAAGAGCTCCAGACTTCCTGCACTATTGTGTCGCCGCTCACAGAGGGATCTTTTTCTGATTTTCGAGGAAAAAACAGCAGTTATTACTAGGATAGGGGAAGTATTCCAGCACAAATCCCACTAAATCCTGATGTCAGAAGTTTTATTATTAAAACTGGGTCCACTCTTTGCAGTTCTCAGAGTCTCAAAGCATGAGAGGAAAAGATGGGACAGGTTGGAGTTTTCATAAATGACTAAGAATGAAACGACTTACAAAAGAATGGACATTTTCACTAGGTGAAATAGTTGGTTTCCTTACTGATTTTAATGTAACAAAGAACTGGAAAAAGAAGGCACCTTGTTTCAATTTTTAGACAATCCTACAAAATGTGACCTCAAAACTGCAAAACATAAAGCAGCAAGAATTCAAGTAATTTATTATCTTTGCTTCAGAAAATCATTGTGTATTTTTCTAGTGCTCGGGATATTTTTTATTATTTTATTAGCACAAAAACATCTAAATATACATTTACAAAGTAAATTTTTTGCTTTCATTAATTAGTGTGTCTGATTTTGTTCTAGGTTTGCACCACAGTTGTCTGGCAACCAACAGGCATCTCATTTGGGACCAATATGAGATGACTAAACACAACCCATAAAAAGTTGGGCTCCCAATGCAGGCGTAAGCTTTTATTTCAAATCAAATGAATTGGCTTAGAGAGGCTTTTTTTAACCACTAGTTATTCTGTATGAAACCTATATTATAATGAGGCATCACGCAGTATGTCGCTGTTCAACTGAAGTCATGTGTGTCTATAAAGTCTTTCTTCCTGAACTGGTTTACTTCAGATTTAAGAATTGTCAGATTTTTTTAAAAAACAACTTCATTTTCTGATCTACAAACCAGTACAAAGACGCCTCTGTTCTCCAACAAGGACTTTAACAAGCTTCTCCAGACATAAAGCTGGAAGTCAGGCAGACTATCATTGACGTCCACACTCCAGTCCAGTAGGTGGCGGTAAATCAACCTCGAGTTAGTTTTCCGTTCGCAAATAAAACACAAAAGAAGACGAAGACTGGCAAGAACCATGGACATAATATAATATAATATATATAGACATTATATTATGTGGCAACAACATTCTCCAGAGTCCTACATCAGGTCTGTAAGGTTATTTGCGGGAAACAACGGAAAAATCAGCATCTTTCGCAACCAGAGGAAGAATGAGAAAGTCTCATTGGATGCGAGACTGGTCGCTGTGACGGACGCATTTTACACGTACAAAACTGGTAAGCAATGACTTAAATAACATCGACTTGTAAAAATCTCCCTTCAGGAAAATGCCTAAAACTAAACATTAGCATAAAAAGGTGCTTAAATGGAGCACCGTTTTCATGCCGCCATAGAGCTAACATTGTGACTGACACACATAAACTCAAGCATAACTACCTCCACTTACTGATCAATAAGTGTGGGTGTAACAGAAATTGAATGTTTACAACCAGTTACCTTGAACATGTGGTAGTTGCCGTCGATCACAGGTTCATTCAACCGGACATGACGTCATCTGTAGGCCTTCATCCATTTCTTGCTTTATTCCAGATTCTGTTTGAGTTTTGAAATGTCAAAAATTGGTTTCCGCCTCTGAACGTTCTGAGTAACAGCTGTATGTTTCCCCATTGACAACGCTGGACCAGTATTTCCAATTATTTTCCTCGAAATCTCCGACCGCAGCGCATTAGCAATGATGAACTCTCAATGTTTTCGGAAGTTCAGTTCCTCCAGTTAAGAGGCGTGTACTTCTGGACAAATCGCGATCGCTGATTGGTCAGTTGCCCTACAATGATTTACAGGTGGCATCACGTGATTCCTTGACTTGAAAGAAATGTTTGAAATGTATGTAAACTTCTGAATCTAAAGAAAGTTACCAAAAAATATCTTTAACAAATATTTTCTCTAAGTTTTCTGGCATTTAGCAAATAGAATAAATATTGGTTATTCTAATTAATCTAAAACAACAGTTTGATCGGATTTATACGATGAAGAATTAAGAAATCCAAAGAAAGAATAAAAGAATACAAAACAAAATTATGATAATAAAGTAATAAAAATTATGAGAATAAATTTATAATATTATATTTTGACAATGAAGTTGCAATATTATGACTTCATTCTTATTACAACTATAGTTGTAAACAGTTTTTAAGAAATTATATGGGGTGTTTTTCTGAAAATGGCAGACGTTTTTGATAAAGTTCATTGAGTGTTTGGTGAGGGTTAGATACCGTGACCTGCAGTCACGTTGTAATTTTTCATTAGTGAGAAAGGAGCAAGGCAAGGCGAGTTTAAGCTGTCTCACTAAACTCTTTTTCAGAAAAAAGAAGATGTTAGGTCTTCAAAGTCTAAGATATGCAACATTTCTTGTTCCTCCTTTGGTTAAATAAGAAATAAACAGACAGGAAATGGAAAAATCAATGTAGTTTGAAGCAAAAGGATCAAAAGTATTTTGGTCTTAGAGAAAAGCAGATTGGGCTACAGTTTTGTGTGTGTGTGTGTGTGTGTGTGTGTGTGTGTGTGTGTGTTGTCAGTGTCTGCTTTACTTTGTACAGTAGTTGTGTTTTTTTGGAAGCCTAATGTTTCCTGACATCCCACAGTTAAAGTATCATAGAGGCAGAGTGATTGCCTCTGGCTAGCAGGAAAGAGACTGCCTCGGGCCTTTCGCTTTGGGCAAGAGTGTGTGACTGTGTGTGTTGTGAGCGTGTGTGTGTTTAAGTGTGGTGCAAACGGCCTTTCAACTCGCAATATTCTCTGTGTCATCAGCTTAAGCGGCTAAACAGAGTGTTCAGGAGAGGAAGGAGGAAAGGAAAGGAATGGAGACAGATAGAGGAAGAAAAGCTCTCACGCGGCATTACCGCCTGGCTCTGCGCCGAACTCCCTTTAATGAAGGAGGAAATGAAGATGGAGGACGAGGGATGAAGAAAAAGGAGGAGGAAAATTCTTTTTTATCTCTTCTTGCTTCCGTCTCACACTCTGAGCATATGTATGCCCACAAAGCATGGCGCAATCTCCATTAGAGAAAGAGCTGTAATTTCAGAACTCTTTTGTCGCCGCCGCTTTAAAAAAGTTGGGCAGATTGGTAATAGTTGCTGTTAAATTATTCAAGTGTTTGAGCCTTAGAAGTTTGGGAAAAACTGCAGCTTTTTTTCTTCTCCTTTTTTAAGATTAGGATTAATGATGAGCACCTCTAAGCATAGAACTTCCTCACTCGAGGCCGGAGCTTCAAGTTTTTAGCATTTCCTTTTCTATTCACATTTTGCACATTTTTGTTTTTCCATTTGTGTCTGAACTGCTTCTGAAAACAACCCAAGTGTTAAAGAAATCACCCAGATTGTTTGTTGTTTTTTGGTGTCTGGAAAATTAGCAGTTTCAAAAACCTGCACATTCAAAAGGCAATGCGGCATTGCCTAGCAACCCTAGTCAAGTCCAGCCCGTCACCTAGCAACCCAAGTGGAAGTCCAGCACATTTGGTCAGCTGATTTTTCACTTCAGGCTGCTGAAAAAGACAAGTGTTTTGTTGTAGACTCACCATCCAAAAACCAGAAAACCCACACCAGCCAGAAAAGATCCTTTTTGCATAGATCTCTTGATTATAACTCAGTAGTTTTATTGTTCAGAAATTACAAAAAACAAAAGAACAAAGCCAGTTCCAAATCAAGTCCTCATGAGTCACATTCAAAGTGTCTTAAGGTCACTATTATTAACAATAAGCCTCCTGGCCTTAACGTGGACATGAAGGATAATCTTGAAAAAACCCTACTTTCATTTTAGTCTTTAAAATACTAAACTTGTAATTCCTGTTTGGTGTTTGGTGCTTCTAAAAACAACCCAAGAGATTAAATTAACCACCCAGCCACCTTTTGGCAACAAGTTAATGGTTTTTGTTGTCTTCAGAACAAGCCATTTGAAAAGCTTCCCAGTTGGTAAGTCACTCAATGGGCAGTGCTGTTACCTAGCAACCCCAGCACGTCACCTAGCAACCTACGCTAAGCTCTAACACCTTTGATCAGCTGGTTTTGGTTTTGGCTGCTAGAAAAGACAAGTGTTTTGTTGTTGACTTACAATTGTTGGTTGTGCAGCAGGCTCCACTTCTGCTTTTCATAGATGTACAGCTGTATAATTGCACATCTGTTTGCAGCCATTTTTACGTGCAAGTTGGGGGGCATGGCCAGCAGCAGGTTATTTAGATTTAAAGTGACAGAGGCCCTAAGAAAACTCATTATCTAAGAATAATTTGTATTAAAAAAAAGTGAAACAGACCTTTCCTAACTTGCTCAAGGAAACAGATTCTCACAATCTGCTGGACAGATTCTCACAATGCAATTACTGATAAATATTTCACTTTTGCAGGTAAAAGCTACCAATGTGGCTGACTGATACACAAAGCAATACCTTGGAGATATAACATTAGGACCAAAGTGCATGAGGTTTTGACCTGTAGGTGCTAGCTTACAGGAAGGAGTGAGGAAGGAAGGGAGGGTCACTGTACAGTAGTTTATAATGGTGTCTAGTGTGAGTCCACGCAACAGATGAAGTCATTTCACACTTGTCTGTGAATGAAATGAGAACCCGGCGATAACATCTCCCTCCGCGCCCGCTCTATGCCAGCCGGGCTTTTGATCTTCCCGAGCGGTGCTGAAATGATCTTCTGTCCGAGTTTTTTACAGCAAATCAGTGCCGGACAATTCTCTCCCTCTGCTCCCATTTTCCTGTCTTGTACCGAAAAGCTGTCAAGCCGAGAGTTCAAAGCGTAGGTCCGTGATGAGATGAGAAACCACTTGGGAGGAATCACATTAGCGCCTGGCTTTCCCATGTGCCGGCGTGTAAAACATCAGAAAGAGGAGGAAATAATTTCATGACTTGACGACGGCCTTATATTGTTGAGGAGCCAGCAACACTGCTCCTGCAGACTGTAAATTCCTGTGGCACAGATCTGCATCCAGCTCAGCTAGCATTTCATTCTCTGTGGTGGAGCAGTAAACAAATACAAAACGCACCAAGCATTTAAGTAATTCTTGTCCAGAAAGTGACATATCAAAGCTTTCAGGAAACCTGAATCCACTTATTTTCTAAACCAATCATCTGGCTGCAGATTCTTCATGAAATACACTGCAAAAACATAAAATCTTACCAAGTATTTTTGTGTAGTTTCTACTGCAAATATCTTGGTTCACTTGAAATAAGACAAAACTAACTTACAAGTACATTTTCAGCAAAATATAGGAACTTGTTTTAAATCTATAATTCCTTAATATTTATTAAAAAACAATACAGCCTTGACATTTCAATGCAAAATACTTAGTCAAAACGACTAAGTAAGAACATTTGTTAGTATCCTGAATAATTTTAACATTTTAAAACAAGAGAGAGAAGAAGCCCGCCATATGCAAAGGAGTCAAAGCTCAAATGAAAAAAACAAAACCTGTAAGGCTTAAAAAAAAAGAAAAAGAAAAACAAGACTAAACCAATACAGAATAGATGAACAATATTTAAATTCCTGTCGATGGCAAAAACCACAAAGTGTTGACCAGAAAAGTGTAGATGTATACACATGTCAAAAAATCCAAACAGCTGCGTATACAAGAAAATAAACAGTCATGATTAAACCTGATTAAACCTTATTATATCTGTTTAGCAAATTATTTTAATGCATTTTTTACCTAAAAAGTGAAAAATGCAGTTTTAACTCCTCAACCATTATTCCATACCTGAACCCCTTTAACTGTCTAACAATTGGTTTTAATATTCGTCCTGACCTTTAGTTTCTTAAACAAATCCTTCTTTCTTAATTCAGTTTGTTTTGTAGTTTTGAAGTTTATTGAATGTTACAAATTACACATAAAATGACAATAATACGGTATACAAATGTTCAAAGGAGTGTGCATTAGTATAAACTTATTGAAAGTACTTACAATAAATAAAATCATCTAGTTCACAACAATAAGCTTGTTTCTTTGTGTCCAAACCACCTCTGTTTACACTTTGAAAGGAGTTTATTATAAGCTTTCTACATTGTTAATGCTGTTCTGAGCTCTACTATGTTCTAAATTCTTAAAGTTTGCAGTGTAAGAAATAGTGTATGTCAACTTGTAAAGTGAAAAAATACTAATTAAAGACATTTTTTGATATCTTTCTCTCTCACACACACACACACAAATCCAGTGTTCACATGGAGGGAAGCAACATGCAGGGAGGGAGAGGTGAGCCATGAATCATGACTATTATCATTAGGTTAAGCACCAACCAACCCCAAAGGCAGAGGAAGCCTCTGTGGAGAATCGACACTCTAAATGAGCCTGATTATTATTATTGTCCTCCAAATGAGAGTGATTAGTATTGATGTCTAAATGAGCACTGAGGTTATTATTGCCACGATTATTAGTATTATTATTATTATTGTGGTGGCGTTATGAGCAGCCCTGCTCATTTTTGCTTCATTCACTTTTAATTCCACAGGCTGCCTTTTTAACTGACAGCAGCACGGCGGCGCAGCTGTGACGTCCGTGCACGCGCGTACACACACACACACACACACACACACACACACACACACACACACACACACACGATTATTCATTCACACTAATCTTATCAAACATTAACACAGCAGTTGTAAATGCAAATTCATATCCAGACATATGTGCATAATGGTTGAAGGTGTCAAAACCCAAAATAAACCTGACAGGCTAACATGTATGAATCTAAATTCTGCCAGAAACATGCAGATTTCTGCAGTCACCTGGAGGAAAGCTGCATGCTC